ACGATGAGGTGGACTGGATCGATTGGCTGTTGTTTTTGTTAGACGTTATTTGTACAGCTGAAGCCGTATGTTAACAGCTGACGCCGGGGCCTCAAGGCCCGAGGCGTCCGCGTGACACATCCTCATACAAGCATATCCAGAGAGTATCACTCTAGAAGGTCGTACGGAGATGATGAGTGAGAAGTTGATTGCATGAAGTGAAGCTGAGCAAAGTTGTCTAAGTATCTCATCATTTTGATTGACGATCATGAATCATGAGGAGCCGAGCTGACGCGGTCATCGATGACGCACACATGGCTGGAACTGGTGAGTTACGTCATTCCTCAAAGCGCGCTGCTTCAAGCACCAGATCAGGAAATCCATTACACACACCTTTCAAACTCATTTGTTGTGAGGCAGACAATGAATGTGAGGGTGATTGGTCCACCAGGCGCTTTCTGAGTATGTTGTATGATCAGCAATATGTAATTCTGGTAGTCAACTTCAAATTGGGGCACTGCGGCTGACCTTGAGGGCCGAGTTCGCTAGGCAAGAATGTACAAGCTTGATAAGGTGACCGTGTAATTTGAGAACTTGTAGTGATCGGATTTGCTCAGTCTGCTTACCATTTCCGATTGGTAAATGCACTCATCAGGTCGCTCGATTGATTGGTAGTAAATTTAAAAAATCTAAGGAACCCGATCACTTTATCATCTATCTCTGTCGCCATCACTGCTAAAGACTGAGGTGGTTATGCTGGTCGTTGATTCGAGAAACAAAACCAATATGTATTCTCAAAACAACCTTGAATACTTTGAACCGATGTCGAGATGGATGGTCTTGTGGCGATATTCGAATATGTAAGTCGATACAAATCCGTCAGCTAGAGCTCATAGTGGTATGAAAGCACTGCTCCATGCAATCACAAGCACATCCGGGTACTTGTGATTGCATGCGGAACATACCCTGAGATCCGGCTCAGGGCATTCGTTCCTGAAGCAGCGAATAAGAAAGAAGGAAAAATCACGAACCTTATGGTTGAGATCTAGATTCCTCAAAGCGTGTATTGCTTATTCGAATGAGATCTTATTCAGAAACGACCTACACATTTTGAATCAAAGAACCAAAGATAAAACCACATATAAATAAGTACATTATCATTTTAAAAGACATCAAATAATCTTCTTGCAAACCTTGTCACGGATATCTGACCAAAGTTTCTGAGCAAAGATAAAAATGATCAACCAATCAGTCTGGAGTGAAAACCCCGCTGATATTCACTTTGATCCGTCTCCCTCACGACTCATCCTTTCCATCCGATCATACTTTCTGGCTAATTGATTGTTCTATATTCATATATTATTTTATTCGTTGTAAGTTCTTTTCTCTTAACTCTACTCGTGATACTTGACTGACTGTTTTGATTCATTCAACCTTAGGATCTACTTAGTCCTAGGCCCCAAAAGTTGACGATCACTCTCAACTCCGATCACTCCTCGATCTTGCCAATCCTTCTCTTACTTCAACCTCGCTGATCTTCACTTTGTTCAATCAAACAAAGGCAGCTAAGTTGTAGTAACATTTTTATCGGCTACCA